ATTCGAGAACCACTCGCACTATGCAAACGTCCGAGATAAAGCAGTAGGGGTCGTCGTAAAGCAGTATCGGGGTTGACTAGGGTTGCCACATCAACGCACTATTTCCTAGAAGTTACTGTTTAAAGGTCTTGTCCAAAGGAAACTAGTTATTATGTATTTAATGATTAATTCTGACAATTAAGTGATCTTTGGTAATAGTTTCAGTGAAGTAATCTTACTTCTTACTAGTATTATAAATGCGAATATTTAGATCGATGGGTGGATTGATGTTTGTTTGAAGGTAGCTCCAGAACGGCTGTATTGATCTCGCTGAAATTTGGCTTTGGTGTAGAACATAGTCAGGAAGAACACTTTGGCTACTAATTAAGTTTTTAATACCGCGCAGACGGAGTTGCTGTCGACAGGTAGTGTACACTATAATTAAAAATGTAAACATCCAAGCGATCAGCATAATACCGTCCCAAAACATCTAGCTCGAAGGACCAAAATCCTTATTTCATGTTATATGTGTTCACAGTAAAAATTAAACCATAAGTATTTCGAATTTAACCAAATCTACTTTTATAAATTATCGTGGGCCATATTGTAAAAGCGATGTAACCTTAACAAGTTTGACCTTACTGAAATCCAGCATGAATTGACACACTTTGATGGTTGGATCGAAATAAATTGCTTGGATGGGAAGAGATGAGACTAAGACGTAGGGGGGAGAGCCAAGAGGAGGCGGCGGTCCGGGGGAGAGGGAATTCAAATTGGATTGAAGGAAGTTTAGATTAGATTGAATTTTCTGCCACCTTGTTTAATTTGGTAAGGGCGAAGGATGCCCGATGCTTATACGACATTTGTTATAAGAATCGATTGATTCTCATCATCAAATTAACATTCATCTACAAGTTTTTTTTTTATTTTATGACATCATCGTTAATGATAAAAATATGAATTAGTATTATTCTTAGTACTGTGTATGGGTTTGCATAGCGCGTGCTTCGAAGATGGCGGCTGCGTCCGCCCTCAATGTTACAGTGACTTGAATAAACATTCTGCGCTACGCAAGCTATCGTTTCATTATTCCCAATACATAACTCTTAGCATTGTACTCAAGCATTTTTATCTAGTTCTTTATCAAACCTCAATAGCCCTTGAATATAACTGGCATTACAATTTAAATAAAATTAAGGATTTCACATAAACACTGAATTCAAATACAATAACATTCCCGGAATTCCATCCCCAATTTAACAACGCGAGCAACAAACAACATTAAATCCAAAACATCTCCGAGCACAAGACGCGTATCGAGTTAACCGTATACCTTGTAATTAATTCCACATCAAACTACTTAAGGAGAAGCTCGCATCGTATTAAGTTCATCCCCAGACGTTTGTAAACTGATCAATTGTAACGACTGAGACTTAATCACATACGTCGAGAAACAATTAGATGCCGTTCGGTTTCAGCAATGTAACTCATACCTTTCACTTCGTAACACAATCTACAAAATTTACTTAATTCTAAGAACTACTATAGAAATAACATGAAAAAAATAATTTAGCTTGCACTTATACATAAAAATGTAGATGTAGATATAGAAATTCTAAGATATGTATGAAGTCAACCATCCCGCACTTGGCCCGTGTGGTTGACTATAGCCTAGTCACCCGTGACTTAGGGTAAGCTCAGTGGGGACGAATAGTGAGCTGATGATAATATCAAGCTAATTGCACTTCATTTCTTCATTTTTTTAACTTTGGTCTACAATCAGAGTCTCCCATAATTGTCACTTACTTGTTAGTAGTTTCGTTCACCTAACTATGATAGATTATCCGTCATGTCTAGAGCTAGACACATCTATTACCTTTTTATAGATCACGTAGCGTCTAAGTATGAACCAATGACTCGGCATTAAAAGTAAGAGCTTCGCAAAACTTAATATTTGTACTTGTGTTACAATTGTTAATGGTGTTTGTCATGTCATGTCATCTGTCCAAATGGCAATAAATTTAGAACCAGACATTTTAGGAATACTGACGTATTCGCCTTAACTTTCGGATGAAATAAATAAAACTAACGCTTCGTATTTGGTGTCACCTATGTTATTTATCTAGCACATTAAAGATGATCTAAATTATTATGAGGATCGATCTAATCATGATTTTGGAGAGTTTAACAGTGGTAGAGCCCGATTTAACATCTTCGCACAAATCGGCCCGGCAATCGGCGGCATCGGACAGGCGTCGAGTGGAAGTAATTCCGCGTTTCGTCTGATGAGTGTGCGTCCCGGAGGCCTAATTTAGTCCTCTTTCCCTACCCACCCATTTTCTTATAAGGAATGGATGGGAAGTCGAAGTGGACTTTCCGGAAGAGACGATGCATGGAAAAGGAATATATTTTCTTTCTGTGCATCCTCTCCTCCGTCGATTAAAGGTAGGCAACGCATATGCAATTGCGTATGTCTATGGGCAAAGGTCACTTCGCTATTTCGGCGATTTCAGGTGACCGCTCGCTCGTTTGCCACCTTATGATATAAAAAAAGTCCAATAAACGCAATAACGATCAAGACCGTAGGGGTAACCATTGATAAGCTATTAACTGTCTAGGATTATGTACCATTTGGTTGCACAACTTTCCTAATACCAAGACGGAAACAACAAAGCTGTTCTATTCAAGATAATTTAGAACCTGCTGTTTCTCTGTTTTCCTATAAAAAAACAAAACATGTAACAAACTGGTATTAGACTAGACACTTGTGGCGTTGGGAAAGTCCATTTTTCATCTCGAGCAGTTTGTAGTTACCGTGCATAGTGACGTGGAGGGAGTAAGGGGGGAGGAACAGCGGCCGCATCGTCGTTACATTTGTCAAGCTCACAATGGCCCTGCTTGTGTCTTTATGGGATAAAGTTTGGCTCGACATAACGTTGTTATTACTAGATGATTATAAGTGATTTTATTAGGTTAAATTTTAAGTCATTTTTCACACAAAAATCTCTCTCCACGTTTCTAACTGGTTTCAGTTCAACGACACAATAATCAACCGAAATAAGCAGTAAAACATCAAAAGCGACTTTATTTAACAGAGACAAATAAGGCGTTAATCTGGCTAATGAATGAATAGACAATTATAGAAGGGACCGCACTTAATAATATTTGCATTGAAAAACGTTACTGTAAACCAGAAGGTCTCCGAATTAATTTCACAAACGACGAAAACAGGTCAGACGGGTGGCAAAAACATCGGCGCTTCGAATAAAAACTCTCCAGACACTCGTCAAAACCTATCCCTCACTCAGTAACGAGAATTAATCGACGTCTTCGACGATAACAAAGAAAGAAATTATGACCGGTAATAAATTTATGTCTAACATTACTACAAATTTAATGTAAGAGATTGTTCTTTATGAGCTAAAGTTAAACTAAAACTAAACATAGGACGGATTCTATAGTTTTTGCAGCCCTTTAATAGAATGTATTGTGCTTCAAGTAACTGGAATGAGATTTTAATGAAAAATATTATACTACAGCACAAACATATTTTTAAGGCACCTTAAAGTGATAAATGTGAATGATAATTATTTTCATTCATTAATTGAACGAAGTGAACGCACTATGACCGGTTCAGGGGAAGGCCTGTAGTTACGACTTGGTCGGATGTCACGTTTTTCATTAGCGATTGTATTTGTTGGCAATCAAGCTCGCGTCTCTGAGAGGGAATCCCAAGGAGCGTTGGCTGATGGTTAATTAATTCAAACCAAATAAATGTTACAGTAATTAAAATAGATCAATCTTTTATATGGTTATATAATGCTCGAATACTATTATTAAAATATTGTTTTAATTTAATAAATTAAAATACATTTAAAAAGAGAATTTTATCATTCCCTTGTATTAAAACCAAACGTTACGTTTCCCAAAATCTTTGAGTTAACATGTATATAAGTATATATATATAATATTTATTTTTGACATGAAGTGTAGAACCCCTTTTAATTTGTATTTTCAATACAAGAAGATTCGTATTCACGACGAGACATCTCCATTCTACTAAATGAAATCAGCCTGTTTTCGTGTTCCTTTATAAAGAAATGGAATGAAACCTTTTCGATTTCTTACCAGCCAGCGACGGCTGCGGTCCGTTCTTTCATTCGTTCCATTCGCCACGACGAGTAAAAGGAACGCTTCCTAATTGCGAAGGAACTGAAGAGCCATAGAACATCAAGAAAAAGATTGCATTTTTTATCTACATTTTATCTTTAAATATATTATTATATTAACTATATATTTAGAGTTAAGCTCCGTCTATGTGTAATTTTTAATAACATAATATTTTTCCTACTTTGTGTTTAATTTGGCATTTTTAAGATAACCTATTTAAAAACCTAGCAAAAATCTTTTAAAAATATTCCTTTTTGGTCTTATTTTTCTTGTAAAAATTTAATTAGAGATCATTGGAGAAAAATAAATGTCTTTATTTAAAAGTTAGAAGATTTGGTAAACACTCCTGAAGATTATAACGCTTATATCGTGCCCCCATTTACCTTCTCACAATAAATAGGACGATACTTTTGAAGGAAAAAAATAGAAGATCTCAACAGAGCAAAAAATTGTTCACTTAAAAATCTTTTATTGAATTCCCGTACTTTCTTGTTCTTTACCGATCTTAACATTTAAATTATATTATGATCGAAAAGAATTATTATGTATGATTATTATCTAAATTAAAATGAAATAAATTAAATAGAAAGCATACCGAAATCTGTAGAAACCTTACTTACATACATACGAGTCCATTTAGCACAAGCACATTTTATATTTCGTTTGAAGTTTATTTTATTTGCCGTTTGTAACCATATTTTTATTATCAGTCTAACTGTAAGTTTCCAAAATTTTTAACGTCCCTCTAAATATATTATAAAACAGATGTAAATATATTTAAAACATGTTTATCTCCTGTGTGTGACCTTCAACGAGCCCAAAACGTAAGTTACAAAATATTTTTGTTACAGGAAATTGAGCACTGCTATTACCACGGCACGGTGAAGGACTACCCGGGTGCGTCTGCAGCCTTCCACACGTGCAACGGCGTCTCCGGAGTCATTCACATCGGGAACGAGACGTTCGTCATTCATCCGTTCTACGGCGGGGATCTATCGGTCAGTCTTCATTCACTTTACACACACAATCATTTTTATAGTACATGTTTTTAAATATCGCACCGACACTTTGTAAAATTAATTATATAAATCTACATTGCAAATTACTGTTATGCAGTTCTGAGTAATATTAACATATGAAAATGGTTTCATTTTCTATTTTTCCGGAATTTGTTTCAAACAAATACCACATCAAACGCAGAGGAAATTGAAAGAGGAATAATTATAAAGCAGAGATTAAAAACAAACAAAAATATTTCAATGAATTCGTATATTCCATGCATTTGTATATCATTTTAGATGAATACAATTGTTTGAACACTATTTCCATTTCAAACAATACAATTTCAATTGAATTCGTTTCATTCAAACGTTTGAATCAATATACGATCGCTTAATGATGAACACTCAAGCTTAATATCAAAATATAAGTATCGATAAGGAAAAATAATTAAATTTTTGGTTTTCAATTTCATCGTATAATTCTGCCATGAAAATTGCAATATCTTAATGAGTAACTATAACAAAGGACGTGATATTAAATCAGCAAATTCATCTCTAACTGTGTCTATGCGTTTATTGTTTATGATATATGCAGGAGAAAGGGCGAGTTGTCACGCTATCCGGGGACCGCAATTACACGGCGCCGGTGCGCATTCGTTTCGCAAAGTTTTCATTAAAACATTTTCTGTTGTTCATAACTCCGCTTTCAATTAATGTTGTACGTTTTTAAGTTTTAAAAGAATAATTATTACCTTTAGCTTTCACTACCGAAATATAATTAACCAAACATTTCACAAAAATAGAAATTTTTACCTCCAAATGTTGTTAATCCTCTACAAGTTCCTCAAAAATATTTAAATGTTAAGCCATTGCTTAGGTTTTTATTAGTTAGATATATTGCTAGCTTAATAGTTTTTCTTTTGATGACGTAATTAAGTAATTTACCTCTAAACATGATATACGCAAGCATAAGATATGTGCGAATCAAGGAAACCATATTCCAAAATTATTAGGTCACTATAATTCCATTTCAAAATTTATTGAATGACATTTCGTCGTTTTAATTGAATTAGGTTGACGAGCACATAACTAGGTTAAAGAAGGTCTACACATCCATGTTCTTTGTAAAAAAATAGCGAGCACTGAGGTAAGGTCTCATACAGTCGTGCTCACAAGTGATTCATTATACGTGTTTGAAACGCGATGAAGTGTGTCAGAATGAATGCAAAGAAAGGAGCCTTGACACGGCCCTAGTTAATAACAAGATACTTGAAAATGTTGCAAATGAAATTTTCGTTAGTTCAAATTAACTTGTTTGATTCAGATATGAAAGCTGAAAGAGATATATAAAAAGGAAAAAAGCGACGATGATTAAAAAATAAGCTTTGGTCATGCACTTACATCTTTGGATCGACGACATTGTCAAAGAGTAGAGAAATAGAAAGACTCTAACATATGAATATATACAAAAGCAGAGAAAGACCATTCATAGTATGAACGGATTGCGTAAAAGAGGATACATTTAAGAATGGAGTGACTTCAGATATGACGTCTGTCAGAAATTTAAAATGTAGTACAAACTATATAATCCCTTTATCTACTTTCGGTATACATCTTTGTTAAGAATAATTATTTACGTGTCTTGATAATATGTTTACATATGATTCCCGTATTCCATATTTCTGAGCTTCTGATCTTACCTCTCTATTTACGGAGATAATTGATTCCCGTATAATATTAATCCCATACACAATATCAAATATACAATTAATAGAGTTCGAGACAAGGTATTCGCTTTACCTTACAATATTGATGTTATTATTGTTATTAGAGATATTTCGTGCGTCGACGCCCCAACATACGTTTCCGTTAAACTTTGAGTACACAGTTATTAGTTATAGCGAAGCGGAAATAATCCTCAGTAATTTTACTCCAAAGTGGAAGGTTAATGTCACTTAGGATTGATTTTAAGAAGAACAGTAGTTACCTTATTTCTAGATGTATAAAGAAATATGTCAATCCTAAGTCAAAAGTCATAGTAAGCAGCTTTAAGACTTCATAATTCTATTAAACATCCTAAATTAAAAGATACTTGTATATTTTGATACTGCAGCAAAAAAGTCTGCGCCCTTACCAAACAATTGGACTTACCACCGGTCCCTGGGGAATCCCACATACTTTGGACAGACAATGCCCTTATCGTTCCGACCAGCCGGTCCGACAAGAGCATCAGATATTAATTACCATCTACCATTGTCCGTGTCACCTCTATAATTACCTGGATTTGTTTATTTGACTAGTTAATTAATGCTTCGGAATTAAAGTGTTGGAATTTTAAACTAGTGTTACGCAATCTACTCGTAGTTTTATATATCTTTTCCTTTATGATTTTTTTCTTTTATTTGCCTCAGTTTATAATCAAAAATGTTATTAAATCATTGCTAAGCAGTTTTAAAATTTCTTAGTGACTGTACTCATTTTATAATATTTTAATAATGAAATAAATGAGGTTCTTAGCGTGTTTCATCCGGCGGGGCAGCTGAGTAATGTTCATGGTACAGTCTCGCTGGCTACTTCGTTGAGCCGTGAATCTTTTATGCGGCCGCATAAATAACTGAGACATTTACGCGTGGTCAAAGCACATAACTGTTGTCGTAAATTAATATATTGACCACAACTTAATGCTTCAAGATATTAGTAATTTAAGATGAATAATTATACTGTAACCAACTAATACGAGAAGGAATTCAAAGAAATTCGACCTATTCGCAATGGACCAGACTGATTACATAAGGTCTATGCTCAACATGGGGTAGGCTCGTGACTCTTGATGGGGAACATGTATGAGTTGACGACAATTGTACTATATTTTTTTGACAGTTGGATGTTATAGTTAATTACAGTACAAGATACTAAAATATTTTACTCATAAAATGCCACTTTGTAATTGTTTGAAGTGGCCGCTGTCCCACGACCCTGCTCAAATCGCTCTAATGCTGTCCGTCAGAATGGCCGTTGTCAGACAGAGACATTTGTCGAGGTCCAGATAATCCCGACCCTTATCTGTAACCGCTGCATAAATTTAGTCACACCAGGCTACTGTGTTAACAGCTTTATTTGAGTCAGAGTTGTATTTACACCTGTTTTTGCTCATGAGATAAATACGCCTTCACTGAATAAGTTACATTTCGCATAATCTGAAAAACAATTTTATTTTAATGATAAGCAAAACTCTAGCTCTCCCGTCTGCTAGCTTTTGTTAAATGATTTGTGATTTTTACTTTTGCAATTAAAGTGACCTAACGTCGTGTTTTATTAAATTAAATAAACACTGTATAATTCAATTTGTGAATTGCCCTTACAAAATGGAAGGTCTTTGTTTTACATTTTCTCGCAAGATACTTGTAATCTTATTGTTATAATTTGAATGGGGATGTAATGAAAAGGAAGCGCTAGGCTCCGGCGCCGGCCCTGTTGTCTTAAAATCCTTTACAGCCTCCCCTTTGTCCTACATACATACAACAATAGATTACAATTAATCTGACGTCTACGTAATAATGTCTTCGTAATCTGATAAACGCATCTATGGCTCTGTGGTAGATGAGTGTGGGCCACGAAGTAAGCGGGTCGAGAATGTAATTGAAATAATAAAAAATAATAATGAAAATCCAATCATCTGCCTCGATAGAAAGATAATAATTTTTCTTTAGTCGTATCCCAAAAATGTATGTTATTGTGAATTAACCATGCTTAAATTAATACATAAGACATAAGTCATATCAAACGGTACTAAAATTGAGTTCCAATATTAAAATTTTGCCGAAGCATGGTCGCGATTCTCGTGGCCCTACCTTAACAGAATTACAATTCGCTTTACACTGTAATTAAGTGTAATAGCGCTAACTTAACGAGTCTCAGAGTGCTTAGTAATACGCGACGAAGGCCTAATGCGAGATTAAAGCCTAGAACAAGTGCGAGCAACGACTTACCAAGGTATTCATTAATTAAGCGATATATTTTCAAACTCTGCTCTCCTTTATGAAAAAGTACTACTGGTGATTTTTCTTCTGTCTGGACTTTGTTGTTAATTCATATTAAGCTACTTTTCTTTTTTATTCTTGACTAGCTGTCGTCCATAACTCCGTCTGGGCGGTATAAAAAATAAAAAATTAGTAGCCTATGTGTTCTTTCAGGCTTTGACCTACATCGATGCAATATTCAACAAGATACATATAGAGGTTCTGGAGATCCATCCATCCATCTTTACATGGGTCCATCCATACATTTGCATTTATAATATTAGTAAGATTTTTCACGTTCACTTATGCTTCTATATCATGTAACTCATAATATTATGACTCGTAAACCTACGTTGTAGTTACGTTTAAATCATTCAAAGCAGCGTATTTAAACTTGTAAGTTACCAAAGTAATAATAACTTGTACCGCTTTTAATTAATATAGCACCCAATGACTCGTTTTGCTTTTAACTTGAATATGTTTACGAGTTTGTTTACCTTAAAAATATTTTATGCTGTTTTTCTCCAGACTTTTATGTTTCGTGTTTGATTAAAATACTAGACAACATCTAATTATTCTCTCCTTTTTCTTTTAGAAGACGTAATTGAAAACGAATCTTGCGAACGTATTTTTCCAATTGGATGTATCAATTTTAATTTCAAAGACATTTCTAAAATTCTAAGGTAATTGGATATTTTCAAAAATAAATATTTCGTATTTTCAGTAACTTTAATTATGTCATTTTAGTTTTGACCCATTTGACAAAAAATTAAAACTTTGTTTTAAAATAGATGAAAAGTATTTGATGATCTAGTAAATATCTTAATGTTATATATAAAATTCTCGTGTCATAATTTTCGTTCCCATATTTCTCCGAAACGCCTTGACCGATTTTTATGAAATTTTATATGCGTATTCAATAGACCTGAGAATCGGCTACTATCTATTTTTAAATCCTGCGCCGACGGAGTCGCGGGC